ATTGCAACAGGTTGAAAATAAGTTTATAACAAGAGCGAGTACTAGAGTCGGGAGTGCACAACTAGGAGATATCCTACACTAGCATTCCTATACAAATAATTAAGTATTTGCTGTCTAACTATACTTTAGTAGTAGAAGTAGAGCAAAGCTGATGACTCACTCTATATATATATATATATATATATATATATATATATATATATATATATATATATATATATATATATATATATTTACATATAGATATAAATGCTCACATAACTGTATTCTTCTATATTGATTTGCTAGATCTACTCGTGCTAGATGATAGTACGTCTCTTCCTCTTATAATTTGCCTCAGTTAGATATAAATATATGCTTTATGGGCTAAGCCACGAATTCTTGTGCCCACACAAATACTTCTACTTATACTTACTATTAAAAAACAAGCAAATTCACACCTTTTAACGTGTCTTTCTTTATCTGGCTTCTTCAGCAATAACACAAAAGTAAACAACAGAACAAAACTCCAAAAATGTCTCAGGTTTGAATGGCTCGTTCCCAAAACCCTGTAGCACAGTGTGTTGTTTATTTAGCTGCTGTTGTTTTTGGACCAAAAATAGGCAAAGAACTGAAAAGAAGTCCGCAAAAAAATGAGAAAATAATAAAAGAAAAAAAAAACTGTGTTGTTGCTTTAATTTTTCTTAAGCTGCTCCGAGGGCGGATCGTTCATTGGCCTGGCCGAAAGGGGCACAGTTCGGCTCATATAGGAACGACGATGACTAGCGTTGACTCTCCTAACTAGCCAACTGTGTGTCCGTATGTCTGACTGCCTGTCTGTCTAACTGTCTATTTGATTTCATTAACAGCTCATTGCTGTGGCAATTACGTCTAGAGCCGAAATTGTTTGTCATATGGCAGAGAAAGTCTTTGGTTCGCTTCATTTTTCTTTTAAAGCGCGGCAAGAAAAATAAAAACTCTTTATGACATACACTTTATATATAACGATGCCTGCCTGCACTTACCCATCGTGGCTCACATATAACTAACTATATAATCACAGCAACAGCAACAACAACAACAGCAGCAGCAGCAACGACTATGGGAAGCCCACTTCACGCTTGAAGGGGCTCCGCAGCGGCATGCGCCACATGACACTCAAGCCAAGAGGCGTTCGAGGGGGGCGTGGCAGTAAGTGCAGAGCTATATAATGGCCACGTCTACAACTGACCAGCTGACCATTGACCAGTCTCTTGGCAAAGCGAAAATAGAAAAGCATTTTTAGAGGCCACACACTTGGCTAACTGGTTGGGGTTAGGCGTGGGCGTGCCAGACGCCCAGATGTCTCGCCTGAGAGCCTTTGCCTTTGCCTTCGCCTTTGTCAGGAGACGCAACTTGAAATGCAATGCCACAAATCCTTTTGTGCAACGCAAACTGAGACTTCAACAAAAGCTGAGCCAAACAATATCTTAAATGTGTGTAAACAAATAAGAGCGCTGCCGTCGGGCTCAACTGACTGCAAAATACTCGTTCACGCTGGAAAAGCAGCTAAGTTTTACTTGATAGAACTGTAATTCTGGAAGTGGTCTAACTCTAGAGACTCCTAGCACTAAAGACTACGGAATTGTGTATAAGAAAACAGAGATGAGTCTGAGTTGCCAAGGTTTCGCTGCGTACACAGACAGACAGAGAACAGGTATATACTCTTTTCACTCTGCGAGCGAGCATAAAAACTTCATTTCAGTTGTTCTCAGGGTCTGCTCTGCTTCTGCTTCGATTCAGCGGGCATCCGACCTTGAAATTTGGCAATCAAAAAACAAATCCAAGCCAGAGCTAATTTATGTATATATAGATATATTTATATAAACATATCAGCATATACAAAACGAAACAAAAAGTTGACAAGTTTTACGCTTTATGTTAATGGGCTTTATTTGATAGCCAGCTTTATCAAGGGAAGTAGAAGAGAGGAGAGAGTGGTGCAGGGGGCAGGGGGCAAAATGTCGATTGTTAAAAAATTCGCAAACTCTCGAAAAACAAGTTTCAATGACTGCCTTTTTTATCAGAATCAAATTGCTTTGGCGGGGAGTGCAGTCGAGGAAAACGAGTATACGAAACAATTTAGCTATACAGAATTGCGGGTAATCGTTCATGCATATATCTATTTATAAGACCCGTTATCAGCGTCGATAAGACAAACAGGCCACACACATTAGAATGCAACTAGAAAGGCTGGCAAATTTCGGATGGCTCTGATAAGATTTAATTATTGAGAAAATAAAAATGTGTCAGACAAATGTTATTTGGGAAAGTACATAAAGTCAATACTAGTAAATAAAAGTTATAGTATAGCTGATAAAATCAAGGTTTTTACTCTGTAGATCGAACTACATAACACGAATTCCCTAACTGAATCGTGTCTAGCTAGCTGTGTGCAGAGTATCAAAGCAGTCAGTCATATGCATATGAAAGGGACTTAAGAGCTAATAAGTCGCAGCAAATTGTATTTAAATTGATTGTAAACTGAATTACTTGAATGTTTATGAAATTTAACTTCTTATATTTGATATTATTTTATATAATTTTCCTCTGAGGCAGCCAACGTCGTCTTTCTCATAAAACTGTTAATTTGCCAACATTTCAACTCTCCAATCTTGCATTTCTTTTGCTTTTCATTTTATTCACTCGCTAAACTGCGTCGCCATTTCCAATTTTCTCTATTAATTCCAACGTCAAATGGATTAATGAAGCTTAATTAGTATTTTCCTGAAGTAAATGCAAACTCTCTTTTAGCTGGCACATTTCCCCTTGCGCCGCTCGGCGCCAGGTGGCGCCATCAGTGCTTTTGTCGCGGATGCGTAATTAACAGCGCTTCGAACATCCGTTCCTCATCATTAGCCCAATCGTTAGCTTATGGATATGTTAAGCAAAGTATATGTTTAATAACCGGAGCAAGTGACTGACTCACTGACTGACTGACTGACTGACAGCTTGACTGATTGATTGATTGATTGACTGAAATTGCACTCTTCCTGATTGCTTGCGTTTGCTTTTTGCTTGCAAATCGATTATCGCTCGTCATGCAACCGACACACACACACACACACGCAAAATTAGTTTTGACGCTGCATAAATGAAGTGGCAACTGGGAGGAGCGAGAAGTCTGAAGTGAGGAGTGAGCAGCAGCAGGAAGCGCTGTCTCGACCTTTCAACCCGGGCGCTAAGCAAACGAAAGCCATTAGCAGCGCTCGACTATGCGACGCCAGCTGAAGCCAACCGCAAGAGCAAACAGCTAAAGCGACACCCAAAGCCTGAACGCCCACCCTCTGTCTAACTCAGTCGCCATCGCCATCGCCGTTGCCGTTGCCGTTGCCGTTCCCAATCCCTGTCGCTCTTTTGGACTCCCATCATATTCGATAACAACTTTCTACCCGCAACTACAACTGTAAAAAAAATTGTTACTCACCCACAGAGAGCAGCAGGAAAAACTGTGCCAGCGACGTCGACGTCGACGTTGATACTCAGTCAATGCTGTTGTTGTTGTCGTATTCAGTGTTAGTGTTGTTGCTGTTGCTGCTGCTGGTTCCTGCTGATGAAAATGTCAGCGGCTCCCCCAAGGCATAATTTGCCTCTTCTCTATCTCTATCTATATATATCTCTCTCTATCTGTCTCACACACGCTTCGCTGTGACTGCGTTTGTTTTGGGAAGTTGGAGTTGGACGTCTGTTAAATTCTATTATTGCTCCCGTTCGCAGTCGCGTCGCGGCGTGTGTATGCGAAAAAAAATAATAAAATAAATTTGGATGGCAAATTGCGTTCTTTGTGGACGGTCGATCTTGGGATTCGCGAAAATGTGCAAATTGTATGCACAAATATCACACACACACACACACAGACTTATACAGCTATGCTCGCGCACACACTCAAACCTTCAGGTGAATGGGCATTGTTGCTGCAATTGTTGTTGTTGTTGTAGCCTGGCAGCTGTCGGGACGGCAGCTGAGCAGCAGTTTTCAATGGCGCGCTGCTGCGTCCAGGATCTTTGTTAGCCGCTTGCCTGAGTTTTATAATTATGTTTATATGTGTGTGTATTTATAAAAGGTCCTCGCACACTCACGAACCACACATACTCACGTACACACACAGAGGCCCGTTTTAAACAGCGCGAAAAATCGATGGCTTGAACAGAAATTTGTTGTCTTGGCAATGCACAAGCGACGGGACACACAAGCAGCAGCAGCAGCTACAGCAAATACAATTTAGATTGGACGGCACATCGATTAATTTGAAAACATTGTATTTTTATTTCAGGGGCCGCATTTAAAGGCTTCAAAGCAAACAAAACCAGTTCAGTAAACAACACTATAATACACAGCACGACCACAAAACACGTCCGCACAGGCCAACAACATCGACGCAACTGTTAAATTAATCTCAATTGTAAGCGACGCCACTGCTAAGTGACTCTCTTTTTAACAAATTCGTGCAACTTAACAGTGGCTGTTAACAGCATGCTAACGAGCTGCTTGTAAACATTACAGACGCCGGTTAGCCGGCAAACAGTGTGACCATTACATGGATTGAACAGAATCTATGCAATACTTGAATCTGCCAGTGCTGCCCATAACGCGCGTCATTTAAATTTTATTTAATTATTTGTTTATGAAATCTTAGTTAAATTATTTTAATTATCATTTGATTTCTACATAAAAAGAGGCTTTAAATTAATATTTTAACTAAATTGTTTTTTTTTTTATTTTCTTAGTTGATTCAGTGAAACTGTTAGACAAGAGTTTAGTTGCATTTTAGTTTTATGTCCTAAAACAAATTGTAAACCTTCTTCAACCATTGCAGTAGAAATTAAGTTTTTTAAAAAATGGTTTTAAGATTGGAAGAATACAGCTCAAGTTTGCTTAAACCTAAAATTCTTATGAAAGTTACAAGAAAAACTGATTGATCAGAAGAGTGATACGAATCTTACACCTTATATACAAGAAGTTCAATAGCTATACCGATCCGTTGCGTATTTTGAAGATTCTGAATTTTTGATCATTTATTTTTTGATGCCATTGAAAATAATGGATAACCATTTATTAATGTTCGTACGATTTAGTTTCAATCTAGAAGCTACATAAAAACCCGGGAGAATATCACTCGGAACTCATTAATTATGAGATAATCGAAAGGGTGGATTCAAATAATTGCCGCAAGGTTTACAAGGGATACTAGTGGGAAAGTCGCCCTGATGGGGGACACTTAAAAACAACTCTCTATATATATATATGTAAATATATATATATATTAATAGTACATAGATAATATGCTCGTAATGGATTAGCTGGCTGGTATGTAGACGCTCGGTGTTCTCTTGATTGCTCTCTCTTGATGTGGTGATCGATCTCTACTGTAGATATAGCCTATGATAATCGTTGGCGCCAAAGGCGCAGTTGCATTTGGGACACTTCCTTTGCCGCGTCTCGTAGCGCGTTCGCAGACAGTCGTAACAGAAGACATGGAAGCATTTGGAGAGCACAGCATCCTTGCGCTTCACCTTGCATGAGGGACACGTGAGCGTTTCCTTGTATTCGCGGATCTCCTCGATCATCACCTCGTCGATGGTTGTGCCCGACATTTCCATCTTCTTCATGCGTTCCGCCTTTCGTTTGAACTGCGCCAGCTCCTCCTGCAACCGTTTCGTCTTGTAGGCCTCCGCTTCCAGCGAGCTGGTCTTCTCGGCGACCACCTGTTGGGCCTCTTTCATTTGGGCATGATACTTTTCTAAATGCAGCTTCAAGTCCGCTGCCGATTGCGCCGATTCGATAGCCTTTCGCTTGTGCATCTCCATGGCCTGCTGGCGCAGCATTAGCTCCTTCTCAATTGACGCTACGGTTGCCTGCAGGCTGCGCTCTTTCTCCTCCAGTTTTCGCAGCACAATGTGCATGGCCTCGATCTGTGTCGTTGCTGTAGTCATTTGATCCTCCAGCACCGTTTTCTCTTCGCGCAGCAGTTTGTGCAGCTGGTTAGCCTTGATTCGCTCAGACATTAGTTTAAAATTTGCATCGTCTTTTTCGCGCAGCTGCTGGATGAGCCTTGAGTTTTGTTCCTGCATATCCTCGAATGCCTGTCCCGTCACTTCCATCTCGTTGAGCAGCGCCTCCTCTTCGTGGGAGCCAACAAACGGACGAGTGTAGTTGGCACCTCCGGGTCCGCCACCTGGTGCAGCGCCCCAAGTATTCTCCGTGGGCTTATGATTGGCCACCTGCTTTTGAAGCTCATATTTCTGCTCCTCCAGCTGTTTAATCTTTCGCAATGCTTCTTCATCGGCTAGTTTCTTCCGTTCCTCTCGCTTGCTCTCCTGCAGCTTTTTCAGCTGCTGCCGCAGCTCTTCAATCTCGGAACGCAGCTTCTTCTCGGTGGCCATCAGCTGCACCTTGTCGCGCTGATCCTTCGAGACTCCTTTGTACATGTCCAGTAGCAGCTTCATTTCCTTCTGATCGTTCAGCGCTTTTCTGTAAAGCAAATGTAATAAGCAGATGGAGATTTACAATGTTAGTTTGATACCTACTTGAGTTGCGCTTTCAGATCCCGCACGGTTTCGCTCTCCACAGCCTTGAGTTCCTTTGCCTTAATGCCCTCCTTAGCATCCTTTTCGGTTTTAACAGCGTTTGCTGTGCCAGCTGCTGTTGCTGTTGCATTTGCTGGACCTGGTGAATCTTTCTTCTCAGCAGTTGCAGTTTCGCTGCCGGACAGCTTTTCTTGTTTAATGTTTGGGTCCTTGACATCTTTACTGCCGCCTTCATCATCGAGGTCATCCTCGGCAGAGGCCGAGTTCTCCTCTTTGATAACCATGTTGACTTCGCCACTGGCATTGCCGGCAGTAGTCGAGCAGGTTGTACCCCCGCTTGAAGTATTATTAGCATTCTCCTCCTTAATATTTGCTGCTGATTCCTGTTTAATTTCCTCGCCCGCTAACGCAGCAGCCGATTGCTGCTGCTGCTTGTTGCCTTCGAGCTTGGCCTGCGCCTCGTCCAGCTCTTTGCGCAGCTTTACAATTTCCGTGGAGATGTCTTTGTACTTACGCTTATACCTTTGCACCTCCCCTTTCAGCTGTCCGTTGTGGTTCTGAAGCGAGGTAATCAGATGCCTCATCTCCCGATTGATGGGTGCTGTCTGTTCATTGGCGGCCATGTTCTGTTCGAACTCAATCCGCAATGCTTCGTACTCCTTGCGAATGAGCGCCAGCACGTCCTCCATTTGAATCATCTCGCTGCGCACTTTTTTCTGCGCAATGAGCTCCTCGCTCTCCATCACCTCGATCTGACGCAAATGTTGATTCTTGCTCGTCTGTAATTGATTGCGCGTCTCATCCAGCATCGTCTTGATCTGCATGGACTCGTTATACAGTACGGAGAACTGTGATTGCAAGCACTTGTACTCTGTCGTCTCCACGATGACCGACTCGGGTAGCTGGCGGATCTACGAAGAGAGAAATATTGATAGATAAGTTCGTATGTGGATGGGTCTTGTCTGCATCTGCTTACATCCATTTTAAGTTTCTCTACTTCCTTGAGTGTTTCGCGATGCGTGGCATGCAGCTTATCCAGTTCCTGTAACCGATTGTTGGCCAACTCACGATGCTCCTCCAGTTCCTTCTGCAGCTCCTCCAGATGTTGGCTATTCACACTGGTCGTTGCACTGCCCCCACCGCCGGACCCGACACCGCTGCTAGGTGTTTTGGCACTGTTACTGCTTTTGTTAGGATCTCCGTAAATTTGGTGATAGGCCTTCAGCTTTTCAATGGCTTCCGCCAGATGGTTTTCCAGCTTATCGTTGCGGCAATGGATTTTCTCCAGATCATATTGTAGTTCATCAATTTGGTTCTTCAGTTCCGCATTCTCTGTTTCCTTGGCGGTGAGTGCATCCTGGTATTCCTTCATCTTAAGCGACATCGTGTGAAATTTCTCGTGTAGCGATGTGTTTAGATTTTGCAGGTTGTGATTTTCCGTCATGATCTCAATATGCGTCTTCTTTAATGTTTCCTCCAGCGCGTGCACACCAGCACCCGCTGTTGACGCATCCGACTCAGCTCCGGCAGTGGACTGTTGCTCTTCATCTCCACCAGCAGTTGCTCCTTGTGCTCCTGCACTGGGCAGACCATCACCTTTCAATACATGTGTTATCTTCTCGTTACGTTGCATTAACCTATCAATAACCTGCACGATCTTCGCCACAGCGCGCTTTGACACTTGGACACGATTGGCTAGCTTCTCGTCTAGCTCCTCCTTGTCCCATGTGGAGAGCTGTGTCAGAAACGAAGTGGTTACTTCGTTCTCGTTCTTATTCTCTAGCTCATCAGCCGTTTCGGCATCGAATCGCTGTAGCAACACCCTTATATCCTCATTTAGCTGATTCCAATATCGATTTACCACGTTGAGGACTGCATCATCTTGCGTTTGGCGCTTCTCCAGTTGCTCAATGCGATGCCGGAGCTCGGCTTCGCAGCGCATTCGCTGTTCGATTCTCTGGGCGAGTTTCTTGTTCTGAAACTCCAATACCTTGATGTCCATCTCCTCAAGTGTTGACACCGGCCCAATTAAATGGGGCTCGAAGTGTACCTTTTTGATAGGCGGCTGACCAGCGGCCGCTGCAGCCACTAAACAGCTGCTGCCGCCGCTGCCAGTGCCGCTGGCATCGTCAGCGCTGCGTTTTGACATAATTTCTAAACTGTAACAACAATGAAATGAAGAAACGAAACGCAAATAACTATTAATTTCAGTTTTCTCTATTATTGATTTTCAAGTTTCGTGGCTGTGGCTGTACTCCATTTTGCTGTGTGTGCGGCTCGGCGGACGCTGCCAGCTGCAAAAATGCACACATATGTAAAACGGTTGGGCAGTTGAGTGGACAGACGGACTGGGTTGCTTACCTTAATTTCTGTTTCTACACTTTTTAGCTTAACATTAATTAATAACTCAACAAAGCGGCAGAATTCTAAAGGAGTTTTCTACTAATTGCTAGCTGTGTAAAGAGTTGCATTTTAAACGATAGATTGTGGCGGCTAGTCGATAGCTTAGATTGGATTTCAATAAGCCAACAGATTCGATAGCTTACAGAAACTGGTTCAATTTACATGATAGTTGCCAGCATCCAATAGTTAATCGATGTTAAAACTTAAGAGTATCGATATTACACGTTACTTAAAAAGATGTAGGCTGTGAAATTCTAATTAATAATAAAACTAAGTAGCTACTTTTGAATTTATTTGCTAGCCAGATGAAAGAGTTAAATAAAGAAACTTGACTAATCATACTACATGATATGCTATTAGCAATTGACATCACTGCGGAACAAACATTATTCTCTAGTACAAGAATGGAAATAATTTTTTAATAAGTGCTAAAAAGTAATCAAAATTGCATATTCCTTTTAAATGTCATGTTTTTTACAGTGCATGAGCGCCATTTTTTTTAAATAACAAAATATTTATCGCTAACTTAACATTTATCTACATGGTATCGATTGCAAAACTGATATTTTGTTGCATTTTAGAATTTTTTTGTTGGTGCTATTGTAAATAGAAAAAAACCATGGAACCTGTTTGCCAGATTTGCATGGAAAGATCTGTTAATCTGAAGCACATTTTGGAGAAGAGTCCTGACAAAAAACTCACCCTGGCGGAAAAGCTCTCAGAGAGTATCACTTGCTAAGTAAATAATACTGATCCATTGCCTAAATACATTTGCCAAACCACATCAGTCGACAATCAGAATGCATTCAGACGAAAGCATACTCGCGGGCAAAGTCTACAGAAAATTTGCTCAAATGTTGAATTTCAAATGCTAAATGTAGCCAATGATCAGTCTGCGTATATTATTAGCAAGCAAGTTACTAATCATGATGGTATATTGGAAACACTCACCAGACTTAAGGATCAATTCCAAAGGAGCGCGAGAATGGTCAATTGAAGACGTTCAGTATAACAGAGCAGCAAATATATCCAATGCATCATTTGATCGTTGACGTCAGATAATCAGCAAGCGCTCAACACAGTTGAGGATCTCAGAAGTAGCCCTAAACTGAAAGTCCATTTGTGTGAGATTTGTGGCAAGTGCTTTGAGGATATGATAGAATTGATCCAGCACGAACTCGTACATAATCTTATATTCAAATGCTCTGAATCGCCAGTAAGGTTTAGAAGTTTTGTAGATCTCAAGGATTTCAGTCTTGCGAAGATACATCCTTATAGGTGTCTTTATTACCCAACGGGATTTCACGCAAACGAAACGATCATATATTCAAGCAGACTGATAAATACCCATTCACGTGTGTCCTATGCTCAAAGGATTTTAAAATCTCCATTGAATCCCGGAAACATGTGTAAATTCGACATTAGTAAGCGGTAGGATATCCCCGCTAATGTAGAACAGATCAGCACAGCTCACAAAAATAACTAAGTTTGTTTTATATTTTTAAACATTGAACTGTAATGTAGTTGTAGTAAAAATCAATTGTTGACTTAAACAATCAAAACGTAAATTTCTACATCGAGATCAGCTGAGTGTTTTTAATCAATCGATAGGGTGGGACCAGTCACACTGCTTCTTGCATATCGATAGTTTTCAAACTGCATATCGATTCTAATAAACTTGTAAGCTAATAATGAATTAGAAGCGATTTTGTTAATTGCTAAGAGTCTATGAAAGGTGTTTGCATAATTCACTTTATTAATCGTCTACAAGTAATAATTTGATATTGAACGGGAAATGCACATGTAATTTAAATTTGGTTAAGTAGTGTTACATGGAGCACAATTAAAGTGGTTGCTGAAGCTCATTCGCTCGAAACATTAGACTAGAACGATGTGTATTTGAGTGCCTGGCGTAGAGTCATGCAGTCGACCTCGTCAATCTTGCAGCTATTTGCTTTGATGTTGATCTCCTCCTCTTGCATGACCTGAACATGCATTAGATAGCGCATCGACGCTTTGTTCTCGTTCATTTTCTGGTTCAATTTGCAGACCGATGCCTTCAAGGCCTGCAGCTCATTGTAAAGTGCATCTTGAACCATGTCACACGTCAACTCCAACCCAGGGCGATGAGCGCGATTGCTGAGACGCGTCTGGCAGAGGGTTATGGCCCTCTGCTTGTCCGACATCTCACGATCTAACTCATTCATATTCCTCTGCACCTGATGGATGTGGTCCATTGTGTCCTTATGCTTGTTCTCCAAACACTGCTTTACATGCTTTGTCTCCGCAATTCGACGCTCGAAGGCCTCATTGGTACGATCCGTCTGGTTCTGCATATCCTCGCAGATCTGCTTCAACAACAGATCTATATAGGCACGCAGCTGCCCGGCGGATACCAGAGCCTTGGCATTAGCCTCCAGATTCTCATAGGTCTGAGCCTGCCACTCAGTCAACGAGAATTGGCTTGGAAGATAGAGATGCGGAATAGTTGAAATGGCAAGTTAATACATTTGTTTACTTACCAGTGCTGCTTGGATAAATCCTGGCCTTTGCCAAGATCCTGCTGAAAGTCCTTCAGCTTCAGATTCTTCTCGTCAATAGCCAGCGATTTATCCTTGGCCGATAGATCCTGATCCAACAGATACATGGCTGCTCGCAGCTTGCGTATCTGCTCCTCGGCCTCCTTGAGCGCGGCATCGGCCAAACCCTGACAACCTTTGATGACCTTCAGTTCGCGTCGCAATGAGCGATCCACCTCATCATCGCAGAGATCGACACCAATGCGTCCCTCGCGCAATATTAGGCACTGCTTGCATATAGCCAGTGACTTATCCTTGAGGAACTCAATGGCATTTAGCACGCGATTGCGATACGTGTTGAGAGTTTCATCTTCCAACATAGCTGTCTTCTTCTGACGATTCAGTTCGTCTACCAGGAAGCGAATCTCGCTAGTGCGCTCGCGCATATGATGCTCCACCTCACGCTGCCAATTCTTGGTGGTGTCCTTTGTCTCATCGACCACGCGACGGGACTCCCTAAAAAGGAAGAGCGAGTCATGCGGATGGACGGAAGCATCTGCTGATGGTTGGAGTACTTACTCGACAATGCGCTCAGCTAGCTTCTCTTGGTCGCAGGTAATGCGGAACTTAATCTTGTTGTTGTAGTCCCAGTCCTCCTCGGAATACCTAGGCGGACATTTGGCCACTGGACCCAGGTGTTTACCTGCCAGCTGCAGGCCAGTGATACGACGCGCCTTTAGGTTCGGCAACATGATGGACTCACAATGGTGTTATACTAACTCAAAGTAAACTTTATGTTGGTTTAATATAAAATACAAAATGGTATCTTGCGTAAGATTTAATCAAACAGTGAAATTAATTGTTACGTATGCAATTCTGAATACACATACACTACTGCAAGGGGAGTGGGAGAATTTCTGTAATTGTTTCTTTTTCTATTTTGAACAAGTCCTGGCACACTTTGGTTTCGATTGAGCTTGGGAAATGAGTACCCGACGACCTGGCTGACTGACTCCGAATCTGTAACTAGCGAGCTGCAGCTGCAGCTGCTGCTTCTCCAACTCGAGGGTTAGTTTAATCGATTCATGCTAAGGAATTCAGCCGTTGCCTAGCGGTATTTATTATTTTTATGTTGGTATATGCTCCATGTGGACGGACCTCTGTATGTGTGGTAGCCAGGGCAGTTGTCTTTGGGTATGTGTGTGTGTTGTTTGTTGGCCTGTGTATGTCACCTGGCAATCCAAATGGGCACAAACGCAACCCAGGCCTAGGCCCAAGCCCAGGTGAACTTCTTTCTGCTGACTTCGGTGGCAGGCGCGACTCGTCCTTGCGGTTTTCGCCTGGCTGCTTAAAAATAGCTATGCCTGACTTTCAAGCAGCTCCCTCGATCGATTTATGTTTAACATACTTTCGCTTTTTACCTTTTTTTTTGGAATTGTTTTTCTTTTTTATTTGGCAATTGTGCAAAACTTTTTTTGCCATTTACTTATGCTAATCAACGCCAGCTGCGTGACTGACGGCCTGATCGATTGGCGTGAGGTAGGCAGATGGGCGCAGGAGTGGGTGGGTCTGTGGGTGTAGCCCAAGGTATAACTTTTTTATTCGCATAAGACGCAATATATGTGACTGTTATGCATCATCGGTTAAAGAGACATTGAAGAAATGCATGCTAATTGGAATTTTAGATAATAGAGAGAGAGAGAGAGTTAATGAGAGAGTTTATTCAAGGACTTTTAAAGAGGAGCAAACTTCTAAGGATTGGTAACAGTATATATGTATTTCAGCTTACGTATTTTTATATTGAGATGTATAGGAAGGCAAAGAAATTTTCTAAGAGTTCCAAGATTCAGCTCGATTATAATATAAATCTCATATATGTATGTCATATCAAGAAGCTCAAAGCATAACATTTATAACATCGAGCCACTATATAATTTATATTTCCTTTCAAAACAGAATAATCTAACTTGCCTTTCAGTTAACTTGTCTGCAATAAAGTCGAAATTTTGGTTTAGTTTTTTTTTTGTAAAATTTAGTTTGAATTTATTACGATATACATTTGTTGTTGCCATCATACATATATGCATGCATATACATATACATATACATATATATTTAAATATATATATATAATTATATATATGTATGTATGTGTGTAGTTTGATGTATATTTATATTATGCACTGCACTTAAACCTTAATGATAATAAAAATGTACAATTTAATTAACTAGGATCTGTTGATGTTTGTTGCATTATTAGTTGTCAGTTTTTTGTTAATGTATTTTATTTTTATCTTCACAGAGTTGTCTCTGTTTTCGGTTTTTCTTTTTGGCTTCTATAGATCCAGCCAAGCATTCATTTCTGAACCCGTGTTGCATCTTTCGCTATGGCCTTGAAGTTGTTCGGAACTGGATCGCTCTTCTCGCTCGGACTTAGTAATTAGACTCTCTTAATGTCTGGCACTTACAAAATAACTGTAATTATTATGACAGGGTTGCCAGTGCGATCGCGTGTTTGGCGCAGTTATTTGTAATGATTTATTAACAGTGAACTTGTATTTGAATCATTTTTTTCGTTTCTTTTCTTGTTTCTTTTTTCTAATATTCGCTCAGCCAAAACGTTTTAATTTGGATTTTAATTATTAGCTCTGTGAACTGTACAAATAGCTAATTGTTTATAAATGTCGCATGCATATCGTAACTCTAGAATTTATTTGTATTTTGTTTTTTGTTTCAACTACATTTTTCTTTAGGCATTTTCTTTTCAGTGGACCTGGTTTTTTGTTCAATATATTGCTGGGCTTTTCAATTCAATTGTTTATTTTGGCTATCTACGAATACAAACTGTAACTGTTTTTTTTTTTTGTTATTTTAAATTGTTTTTTGTTTTATCTTTTTTTATATTTTTTAAATTCATTTATTTGCTTTTTGTTTTTATTGTTTTGTAATTTGTTGCTAGTTTCTTGTTGTTTCCTCGTTTTGTATGTAGGCAGTGTTTTTCCTTCTTCTTTTATATTTTTGGAGCTACTTCAATTTTTTATACATATTTTACTTAAGTTCTAGCACAATTTTTTTTATATTTTTAAATTTTTTTGGTGCTTTTCTACAACAAAGAAAAATAAGACATTTCTTACTCAATTTTTTAACTTCACTTCAATTTGTTATTGTAGCATAAAATTTATAAAAAATAATAATGCGAAATTACATAAGAAACTAATAAACCATAAACAATAAACAAATAAAGTTTTACAATTCAAAAAATATATATTTATATTTATATTAATATTATGTTTTCCTTCCGTTTTCTTGTTGCTTCTCTTTGCTTTTGTTTCTCTTATTAATTTAAGTTGTATTATCATTTAGTTGGTTTTTGTTGTTTTCGTTTCTTTTTCTTTCTTTTCATTTTTTAAAAAAAATAATTGCTTCTGAGGTATTTTCATATTCTTTTTGTTTATATAAATATGTTTTTGTTTTTATACATTATAAGTATTTAGTTTTTAGTCGTTCTCGTTTTCAATAGTTTTTTGTTTTTGTTTTATTTTTGTTTTTGTAGTTGTCTTGTCTTTTTTTAAACAATTCAAAGCACCTTTTGATTATATTCGACATTGTGTTTTTATTTATTTACTTTTTTCCATTTTTTTTTAAATTTTTTTACTTTTATTAATGTTTGCAAATATCAATATTTGTTAGAAAATAAAAACAACTGAAACAAAATATAATCAAAGTACATACACATCTATTATAATATATAAGTTTTGCTATTTCTTTTGTTTTTCTTTTTTGTTTTAAATATATATCTTCTTTTATTGTTGTTGTGGCAGCGTTTAGCTTCTCAGTTCACATTAAATGTTTTTGAAATAATAATTATAGCATCATTTATGTCAATTTGTTAATGTATCGACTTTTTATTTATTTAAGTTGTTGTTGTTGTTTTTAGTCATTGTTTTAAGAAATGCCTTATTTTAGTTATGTAAACGTTCGAACAACTGAACTGCTTAAGTGAAAATAATAATTGAATAATTGTAATAATAGTAGAAAGTTGCAGCAACCGAAAGCGAGTTTTCTTCTTTAGGACTATTAAATAAATAGAAAATCAATATATATATATATATATATATATATATCTATATATATTGGCTACGACCTTGACACTGGAAACCTTTGCATTTAGCTTCATATATTCAGTTTTTATTATCATTAATAGATATTGTTAATATTAATATTAATATTATTATCATTTTTAGTTGTTGTTGTTGCTGTTGTTGTATGGTGTTTGCGTTCTTGTAGTTGTTGTCGTCCTATACACTAATTGCTCACTATACAAACAAAGGTTCATCCAAAGAATTGCTAAATGGCTAAACAAGAATTTAAAGCTCGAGTCTAAACAAAAATTATTGTTAAGAATAGTTAAGACAAATAATAATAGAACTCAAAACGGGAAGTTTTTAAAACGAGCTCAATTAAACAACTTAATTGTAATAACAAGTGTAAATGTTGCTGTTGCTTTTCTTCTTCTTCTTATTGTTGTTGTTAAGTATGTATGTTTTTGTATCTATATAATCAATATGTTTTGTTTGCGTGTATACATGTAAATGTATGTAAAAAAATCAAAAAAGTTTGAAGTGTACATTTGAACTAAATTGTGTAAACCTTTTACCTATATAAGCATAAAACATAATCAGTAATTGATAAATATTTATACACGATCCGGAACTCGCTCCAGCTAGCTAACTCTCAAGTGTCTCACAATCTACATACATGTTCATATACATATACATATACACTTGTATATATATATATATGCATAGTTATTCTATATAGTTGGCTATAGCAATAGCATTTGTTATGTTATAGTTATATAGTATGTTATCTGTGTATGTCTCTAACTTTAGTATTTATGTATATCCAAACAAATAGCGATCTCCCTTCTCTGTCTCGCCGCTTTCTTTCTCTCCGTGTCGATCTCCCATAACAAAAACAATTTCCGATCTCCCGTCTACCCCTTGATCTGTATGTCAATATTTTGTAGTAACCTCTAGACCATGGGCAGCCCCTGCAGCACATCCATCATCTCGTCCTGCGCCGGCGATGGACGTGGCGCAAATGTTTGCATGTGATGCGGATGCGGATGCTGGTGCTGATGTGGAGGTGGGGCGGCACGTGCATATATCGTTGAGCGCTGCATGGCTGGCACGTTGGGAGCTACATTCGGATTGGCGGACGGGAACTGTAGCCGAAAGCTGTTATCCGGATGCTGATGCTGCCGAAGCATGCGTCTTGGTGAGCGTGCCGGCATACGATTAGCCCGATGCATATCCTCCAGTATTGATGGCGCTACGTAGGTGAAACCCTGCGAAAGGTAAACAAATATTGCTCTTAATGAAGATGTTTGCATTTGCCAATTGTCTCTGTCTATCTCTCTGTCTCCCTCCATCTCTCTCTATTTGCTTCTCCCCTCGATTGATCGCCAATGAATTGGGAGCATGCCTGGCTGCCAGTGGATTACCCTGTCGCATACTAATGCCCCGTCATATGGTCAAGCCACTGGACTGACCCAACTGCCTATGTAACACATTTTGCATAATTTTGGTTTGCAGCCAGCGTGAGAGACACTAATTAAATTTTGACGAAATCCAAAAACCAAAAGATATATAATAAGTCAAATAAAATAAGACAACAACAATCTACAAATGCAATAAAATAATTAAACATGCCGCCGGCTCGCGTGTAAATTCATCCAGCACGCCGCAGAGGCTGCACAGCGCACAGCGCACCGCGCACAGCGCACCGCGCACAGCGACGCATTGGAATAAAACGGTACGTGAGCGCAATAATATAATTGAAAACCTCGCTTTGGGAGCTGATCAGATCACAGTAAAGCATGCTGACCCACTAAAGCTGTGGGCGAGCCACGAGAAAGTTTGTAATAATACAATAATGGAGTTCTAAGTGCAGAAAGAATTTTCCAATTAGCAGCTTCTAACTGCAGTTTGAGAGCCACTGCTGTCAGCTATGCTTATAAGAAACACAAGCACAGCGGCTGTGGCTATCTGGAGCTACTTTGGCATATAAAACGGCTTTTAAAAGTTACAGCACAATGTGCACTACTTTAAGCAATTAAACCGCCCTAAACAATAATAAAATGCAAAACAAACGAAAAACAAGCGTAACGTATTTTATAAACAAATAAACGGAACAACAACAACAGCAGCACAGTTTGGGCTGCTCTCATGAGCTGCAATTAGCTGCTCAGTGGCCAAAGCCAGCAAAAGAGCAGCCGCAGCAGCAGCAGCAGCAACAACCATAGTTAACGCAACTCTCTGCGTCTGAGGCCAGGGCCACTTCGTCGTCACGTTCGTTGGCCAGTCGCAAAGAAACGCTCAAACTGAGCACACGACGGACGAGTCGAAGCAGCAGCAGCAGCAAAGCAACTTTCGTGTCTCATACAAAAAAAAAACATATTTTAAGCGCACTGTTTAACATAGAGCTCCCCTCTCTGCTCCACCCTTGCCAGTTTTTGTATAAGGCGCTGTCGTGACGTCTGGAGAAAGGCTTAGGCTGGAATTTGCACAAAAAAAAGTCATCCACGTTTAATTTCACTATGCGAGCGCAGTGACATTAATTCTTGGACTCGAAAGAGCTGAGCGCGTCGCATCATTTGCCTTTCAGGGCTATCGGGTTCGGCGAGACAAAAGCACCGGAGCCCAAATATCAAACCAGTTCAAGTGCTTGCAGTTACAACAATATCGACAACAACAACAGCAACAGCTGAGGGAACGATAGAAAGAGAGACACCGCAAGAGTGCGACGCGCAGGCGCACGTGCAGAAAGCGAGAGCGCAGCAGCGTTAGCGTCGGCGTCGCGTGCTTATAATTGGGACAAGAACCGTTTTTGGCAACAGCAACAGCAACAGCAACAGCAGCAAACGTCAACGCTGGCACAGTACATGCCAAACTGTAAGGGCTAGCGCGACAACAGTGCGTGCGAAAGTGCTCTTAAACTGTGAAGTTACATAATTTTAAATAATAGATAAAAAAACAACAAAAAAACCTTAACTAGCTGCCAACTAACAACAATGTGCAAGATATCTGTAATAAAAATTGGCAAACAGTTGAATTGTGTGAAAACAGTAAAAGCAACAGCAGCAGCAACAACAATCGTAAATTGCTGCTTGCCACAAATATAAAAGCGTAGCTTTGTTCGCCAGCAGCAACCACAGCAACAATAACAATACCAACTATACATAAGAAGACTTTGTTTGTTTTGTAAAAATGTCCAAACTGTTGAAAATCAATTCACTCTCGTTGCTGCTGCTGATGGCAACTGCGCTGCCCCCACAGCAACAGCAACAACAACTGCAGCAACAGCAAATGCCAGCAACAGTTGCTGCAATGAGCAGCACAGCAAAAACAACAATACTTTTAAATGCAACTGACAACGCTGCCACTTTCATCGATAGCAACTACAGCAGCACTAGCAGCAGCAGCAGCAACAACATAAACAGCAATGAAGCTTCCACCGCCATCTATGAGCAGCAGCAGCAGCAGCAACAACAACAGCAACAACCACAACAGCAACAGTCACAACCATTGCAATATGCACAAATAACGGCATTAGATAAAGAAGTAGGTATGCATACGGTATCTATTAGCAGTAACAACAACTACAAAGGCTGATCAGCTCTTGGGCATACATCATATACCCTTACCAGAAGAGTATTATTGGGCAGTTTATGACACTGGTTTCCTTTAAAAATAAAATGTTGACTTTATTTTAATAGAATTGACGCTTGTTACACATAGCCCCTCTATGCGATTCACATCATTTCAAGTAATTCATATCCCATATTTCTCCTAATTCGTATTAAATTGATGAACTGAGATACGTCAACTTCTCTATTTACTACTTTGTAACAACGCCTTTCTATGTGATTTTCAAAAACTTTAATATTGAGTGGGTAAATGCGAGCGCAAGTGAGGGTAATTGAGCAAGAGTTAGCGAAAGAGCGAGAAATATATGAAATAGAGAAAGTGAATAAAGTTTTTATGCTCTTGAGAGCAGCATAAAGTCGACTAGAATTACTTTAGCAGCAGTTTTACTTGATATTGAAGTGAAATTTTCGACATGATTTACTTGGATAACCGAACACAAGTTTTCGGGCCTTAACAAAAGGCGGAGCTCCAGCAAAAATGCGTATTTAAATGGAACGCAGCAGAAGTCACAAAACACCAACCAAATGAAAACAAACCGTGGCTTTGGCAAGTGCTTAAATTGCAAATTAGCTGCGCCACGGCAACGATGGCTGCAACAACAACTACAACTAACTACGACACGGTTTACGATTGAGGGCGGAGGGAAGGGCAGCAAATTGTCGGTACGTTAACTTTTTTTGGGTGGTCACTTCAAGTGTGTGAAAGTGAAATTTATTACACCTGAATTTGAAAACGAACGAATTTAGAGCTAGACGTGGAGCAGCTGCCTACGAATGCAATGGCCGGTTTTGAGTGTCTTAACTCTGGGTTGAGTAATTGCCAGAGCAGGCGAGAGAGCTAATTAAAATTGGGTTTATCTTTTATACTGATCTTGTCTTTCCCACTCTCTTACGTTTAGTGGAACGGCTTATCAAGCAGTGGGCGCCGATCGTTTGGCTAGCGCCAGAGGAAAAATTCATGCCGCTGGGCGTGGAGGAGTTCCTGCAGCACGTTCATCCCATGGACAAGGATCGCAGTTTTACACCTGGCATGCCTTTCAGTGAATACTCCACCAAATCACACCTGGTGACCAATGGCGAAATGGAGGATCTATTGAACAACGAGCAATCGTTTATCTATGGTCGCAATCCCAACGAGGCACCAGTGCCCATTTATGGCGTGGTCACGTTGTGCCCACCGCCGCCCAAAAGAGAGCCAGAGCCATTACCAATGCAAGCCTTGTCCAGTACGCGGGGACCCTATATTCCAGTGTCCATTGATCCACTGGAAGAACGTAATGAGACGTTGCGACGTTCGTCGCGTCTTTTTCCACTGTTCCAGCGCGTGAAGCGAGAGGCACCTAGCATACCAGAGTACGGCCCAATCAGTGACTACGATCTGTTAAGCGAGACCCAGTATGCCGGCGAATCTTTGTCTAAGGCCGTGACGTTGGATCAGCAGCAGAAACAACAACAACAGCAGTCAGAATCAGAGCTGGAAAATGGACTCCCAGTGAATAATTTCATAGCAAATCTGGCAGACAATGTGAAATTTAGTGGAGGCGTCGACCTGGACGACAATATGGAGGATAACAACATAGGCGATTCGCAGCCTCATGCTACAAGGAGAATTAAGGGACACCTACCCAGTTTCCATGTAACCTACTGGATGTTCTACCCATACAGCCAGGGCAAGACGATGTGCACGCTAAGCCTGGGACCTCTGGGCCGCATACCATTTCCAGCCGTCTACGGCTACTGCCTGGGCCATCGCCGAGACATTGGCAGCCATGTGGGCGACTGGGAGCACATGACTTTGTACTTTAACGGCGATTCCGAGCCACAGGCTATGTATGTCTCTGCCCACGATGCGGGCGCCTACTACAGCTATAGTCATCTGACAGGCGCCTTCGAGTTCCGACGCCAAGAGACGCGCAAAGGCATTCTACAGCGTCCCAATTTCCCCAAAACTGTAACAACATTCAAGAATCACCCGGTGCTGTTCGCTGCCAAGGGTTCCCATGGCCTATGGACGGCGCCCGGGAAGCATCGATTCGTTAAAGTCGCTCGGCTATACGACATCAATGGCTTTGGAACGCCATGGAACACTTGGAAGGCCGTTGACATAAGCTATAAGAATTTGCGCTCATATGGTATGAGACTATTTGCAAATTTTTAATTTGTATCTAATCTTATCTGTTTCAAAAAGGTCGCGCTTTGGTCCCTGATTGGCTAACCTATCGTGGCAAATGGGGCAATCCCAAGAGCAAGTGTCATCCCTTTCGCCGCATCGGACTCAACTTCTGCGAGTTTACAGACGGACCCACGGGTATACCACTGAAGGAGCCGCACTTTCAATGCGGCGCCGACTATCGCTGATTACATTGGCCTAAATAGTATTAAGATTACCCTTAGATAAATATTTATTGTGAAAATCCCATCCTGCTTCTTACTTTCAAATGAATTAAAGATGACCTAAGAAACGTGATTAAACTTTTGTTTCTTATTCAATAATTATGAAACACTATTATAAAATCCGATTATCTGAATGTCACAAAAGATTGGTCTAGCTATACATATACCTACATTCAACTCAATAATTAAACTCCTAATCATTCGTACTCTTAAGCTAGCATGAAGTGTTGTTTAAGCTTTCACAGATCGATTAACACTTACTTGAAAAATTAAATTGACACTTTCGCTGAGCGTTGTATCATCCGGAGAATCCACGGGAACTTGTCGTGTGAATCTCGTATCGAATTGGGAGACATCATCCTCACTTCGCTGTTAAGATTGAAGAGAAATTTCTTGAGCCAAATGCCCAGCATTGATATAAAATTTTTGGCCTACCAGCAGCGGCTTGATGGGTGGTTCTAGACGTCGAGCCACTACATCGTTCCAGTTGACATGCTTGAAGAACGGATGTGACTGCACAGCTGCCGCATCGTCGGGTCCGCTGCCGAGGCGCTGTGGCTCCTGTCGTTTCATCAGGCGTCGCACCAGATCTCTGGCTTCGGGTGTGAGGTAGGCTGGCAGATTAAGCTTGGCTTTAAGTATGGTTTCAATGGTTTTCTTGCGGTTCTCGGCTGTGAAGGGTGGCTGAAATTTTACCCAAGTTATGTTTTAGTTTAAAATAATAATGATTTACAATGCTATGGCACTTACCACGCCCGTGAGCATATCAAACATAAGTGCGCCCAGGGACCACCAATCGACGGCTTTGCCATGGCCACTTCTAGTTAAGATTTCTGGTGCCCTGTTAAGCAAGAGTTCGGGTTTAGTTATATATATGCACAGACTAAGCAATATTTAAATAATTGACGGGCGTGCACGCACATGTACTCAATTGTGCCGCAGAAGGTGTGGGTGACAATACCCTCTTGTATGTGCTCCTTGCACAGACCAAAATCTGTTAACTTCACATGTCCCTGTGCGTCCAGCAAAATGTTCTCTGGCTTCAAATCGCGATAAATTATGCCAAGACTGTGTAAATGACCTAAAGCCAAGATGATTTCGCTCAAATAAAAACTGCAAGCAAATATTTGATAAGTGTTTAGTTTGAAGTATAAACTGAGTCGCTTACCATGTGGTATCCTCCAGAAAGATGCCCTCGCGTTCCAAATGCATGAACAATTCCCCGCCGCTCAAATACTCGAGTATCAGATACAATTTGCCGTCTGTCTGAAAGGCATATACTAATTCCACGATAAAGGGATGCTGCAAATGTGAGAAAAGAATATAATTAAGAATAGTGCAGAAGGAACAAGATGGACTAATTTGAATAGCATTGTCTTGGGCTCGACAGTTGACTGTGTGTTAACTGTGACAGTGTGGGAAGTACTAAATTTTCTGAATGCTATACCAGAGCTTCACGTTTTTTCTTACCTTAACTGCCTCGAGTATATTACGCTCGGCTCGCGTGTGCGCCGTGTCCTTTTGATTAGTCACAATGGATGCCTTTTTGAGCACCTTCATGGCAAAATATTTGTTGGCATCACGTCCAGCGGTCTTGCGCACCTGTTGAACAAAAGATCAAATGATGTGAAAAGGTTTCGAATGGATTTGTAGCAACATACCTGAAATACTTTGCCGTAGCCACCTTTGCCCAGCACTTTCTTGAGCTCGAAATCCTTAGGGCCCAATTTAATTTTGCCAGGATTGACATTCTCTTCGGAGAGCTGTATGGTTTCCTGGCCTTCATTGCTGCTCAGAGAGAGAGAAAGAGAGAAAGAGAGGGAGAAGAGAGGAAAGAGGAGCAAATTTACAGACACGATTAGTTTAGCAAATGTGTTTTAGATTTAGTGTGCAGTGCTGTTAGCGTGGGAAATGGACAGCCCACGCGTTCTATAAATAAAAACGTTGGCAAACACGCGCCAATTGGCGCCCACAAATCCCATAACATTGCCCACCCCCTCTTAGCTTTTCCAACTACCAGCTCACTCCATGAACATATCAAGTGTTTGTACACTGACTGGCTGGCGGGCTGGCAAGGCTGGCATATTGCCCATTAGACGAGCCAACAACAGCTTGTTGGTTGGTAGTCAATTGCCAGTTGTAAACACTTCTGCCACATGCCAAAGCCAGCCGCGTTATCAGTCGCAGTAGCTGCCGCCCGCGTCAGGTGTGCCTTCTGCCCCGATCATAATATGTGTGCGTGTGTGGCAATTAATACATTGCCCAACCTAAGCAGATTATCATCCAGTCGATACTTGGGATTCGCTATAGGAATGGGTAATCCCCCACACCCTTAACGTGTATTCAGTTGTCGTTCTCAGAAGAGAATTCCGTCGTGTATCGAAATCGCAGTCACATCTCTTGCCCCTGGCAGCGGACATAACTTTCGAATTACTCACTCTTGGTGTAGGTTTATGCTCAATTCCGGTTCTAGGTCGACCTGCAAGACAGATAGAGAGAGGGAGAGAAAGAGAAAGGAAGATAAGAGAAGAATAAACAATATGCAAATGAGTCAGAAAAATGTAAAAACTTGAACGATTAGTCAATAGTTTGTAGCAAAAGCCAACAAAGTAATTTGTAAATAAATTTAAAGATACACAGCCTAAGGGCAAACAGATAAATTTATAACGTAGATGCTTTACAGGTAAATGTCCGGGAAAATTACAAGAACTATAACTCAAGTTTCACAGATTTTCATGTTTAGGGCTGCAGCTTAGTCAAGGTTAATTTTGTAGGTGAACTAGGTGTGAATCAAATTTCCAATCGACAACACAAATCTCGCTTTTCTATAGCTTAGAGAACTATATCAACTAGAACCTATATCAAATATATGTTTATCTTGCATATTAGCACTATCCTATGAGGTCATTATCCAGAGTTAGTTAAGCTTTAAAGCTTATAGGATTTGAGTAAATGATTTCTGATGAAAGTTGCGTCTACCTGGAACTGGGCGAAGTGTCTTAATGACAGAGACAAATTGTGATGCGCTCTTTGTTCAGAGAAAGTGTTTTGGGGCAGAGAAATCGTTAAACGCCGCAACGCCGACGCAGAACGAGGCGTACAAAAATTCCGTTTTGCCTCGGGTGTTGCGTTCGCTGTAGATCGGCAATATATACAAGAGTAAATATATCTATACATGTATATAAAGCCAGACACTTCTCCACACACACATACGCGCACCTTTTCTTTAATGACAAACTAAAATTAGAACTCGGAATAATGCCAAATACTCTGCCGGCAGTTCAGCTGCGGATGCTGCCGAGACGTTTGTTTCTCCGTTTAGGGGCGAGACTTGGAGACTTGTTAGGCAGCATCTCAGTTTGGAATTGTAGGGGAACTCGTCGTTATATGCAATCTATACATATGTATAAATTAATTTTTTATATGCGGGTGTTGCAAGTAAATCCATTTTACTCAACCCACAACTGGTTCAAGCTTTGCAATGCTGGCGCCGAATTTCAATTAACAAATCAATCATAATTTCTAATGTCCACATTTCGAGGGCGTGCGCCCGCTCAGCAGTTACAAGTACTTATGACATTTGTGACAAAAGGCGAATATTGAAACAAGTTGCCGACTAGCACATGCCCTAGCTAGTCAAATTTTACTTATCTGCTGGTGTTCAGCAAGAATTTATGGACATTATCAGTGCGCTTATGCTTACCTTTGCTTGCTACATATATTTGCAAACAAAAAAAATAATATCCTCTTTAGAACATAATCAATGGGTATATAAAAAGAATCCCAATTGCATTTTCAATCGCTACGAAGAAAAAAAAAACAATAAATAGAGCTGCACACGCGGCCGATAGACACGATTCCATCCGTTTTCTTCGAATTTTTTTTTTTTTTGATTACTTGCGCCTTATCAGCAAAGTACAATGCCGTTTTTTATTTCAGTTTTTTCGTTTTCCAATTTTGTTTTATTCACTGATAAGATTTTCATTCCTTTTTAAGTGGGAGTTTAGCTTACAGCGAAGAGCGAATGAATGAGTCAAGACCCAGAGTCACATTTTGACATGAAGCATGCACTGCTAACTACGTTCTTTTACAACACAAATCAAGGTTTACTGTATTTAATCGAATAACTTATACACTGTGCAAACCCCTTTTATATAATCATTTAATACAGCTAGGAATCATGCCATTAGCATTTAGGTCTCGGCTATTATGAAGCGAATTATCTCATAGTATGTCAAGGTAAGAGTATCTAATCTTCGGCAAATAAAAGATAACTGTGCTTTCCTGTTTTGCTGACATACATAAATATAATATGAATATAATTTCCAGGAATTCGCGTGGTAAATCTACAAAAATGAGTTCCTTTTTCCACTTCGAATTCAAAACAAAAGGTGCAACTGGTACGATTGATACTCGTTCATGTCTGGCTGTGTGTGTGTCAGTGTGTTTGTGTGTGTGTGTGTGTGTATGCGTGAGTTATTGATACTGATTATTTTTTGAAGGACATTTGTTTAGAGCGATACGATTGCCCAATATTTCAATCAAATTTAGCGATAATGGCAAAAGAATGTATTCCACAAAGAATAGAATGACTGCTAACGCCGCGCTTACAGCTGAAGTGGACTTTTGCGCAGCAGCAAAGACGCAGAGTTCAGTGCCCAAAACAGAGAAAATATTTCCTTTTTCTTTTCTCTTTGTGGGGAGGGGACCCAGACAAAGCGAAGAAGGTAAACAAAGAGGAAAATCGTACGTGCAGCACATGTATGGGTGGGCAGCGAGTGCAAGGGGAGTGGGTCGGAGAGTTGGCGTGCTGCTGCGTAGTTAACTATGTTACTCACATCATCCAGCTCGATCCTGTCGTCGTCCGAGTCTCGCGCTTTGTCATCCTCGTGCAGCTCTAGATCGAAGAGTTCACTTGTATCACTTACGTCCGCCATTTGTCGTTGTGTTTGTCGTCACACACACACACACGCACACAAGCGCAAACACGGGCAAACACTATGGTTTTGCCTATTTTTTTTTGCTTTTGCTTTTACGTTTGCAATTGAATTTGTTGCTGCTTCTGCTGCTGCTCTAACAATACGGAAACAGACCAGCGCAGCGGCAGTGAAGGAAACGACGAGACGCACTTTCTTGTCAATGCTGTGATTTGATATTAATTTTGGCTTACTCGCACTGGCGCGATGCGGCCCCGAAGGTTATTTGTTTATTAGTTAATAGAATATGAATGGAAACTAAGGCGCAGCAGCAGCAACAGCAACAGCAGAAGCGGAGCGCCAATGCCACAGCCACACAATGCCAATACACACGCACGTACACGCACACGCACACACAGAGACGTTTACGCGACCATGAGACGCATATAGAGGCGCACGTAAGTTGCTGCACGACGCTAGCCCACACGCGCGCTCACGTATAAATGTTGAAATTAAATTAAATGTAATTTAATAACAATTAAAATGCACTTTTTCTTTGTTTGCAGCCAGAACACGAGGTAAGTTGGGACAGCGATTGCACTATTCGCGCTTATCGATACTTGACAAGCATCATAGCAGCGCTATCGATGCCTGCGAACGAATTGTTCCGATACGAGTCAAATCGCTGCGGTGAATCGATACATCGATATATTTAGGTTGGCATGCTAGCGAAACAAAGCTGGCAAATCAATTTCCATTTTTCAATTGCAATTTTTAATCAAGAAATAATGTGCACCGGCGGATCGCCCAGCAGCAATGGATCACAAGCTGAAGAGAGCAGTGAAAATGATAACCAACAACAACAACTAGCGACGGAGCAACAACCAGAACAGACACAACGCACTGCTATTGGATCATGCACACCCGAAGAAGTTCTCGCCGATTATGGTGAAAATATTAAGTTACTTACTTTAAATTCTCAAGTTGCAGAGCTGCTAACCATCATACGCGACAAGTAAGTAGCTGGTCAGTTGAGTTGGAGTTCGATCGCTAATCATATACATCATACACAGAAATACCTCTCGAAGCGACTTCAAATTTTATGCAGACCGGTTAATAAGGCTAGTTATCGAGGAATCTCTCAATCAGTTGCCATACACGGATTGCGACGTCGAAACTCCAACGGGAGCCATTTATGAGGGTCTCAAATATCGTTCGGGCAACTGTGGTGTTTCCATCATACGCTCCGGCGAGGCCATGGAGCAAGGACTACGCGATTGCTGTCGTTCGATACGAATTGGAAAGATCTTAGTCGAATCGGATGCCAACACGCATGAGGCACGCGTGGTCTATGCACGCTTTCCGGATGATATTGGCAGCCGCCAGGTGCTACTCATGTATCCAATCATGTCTACGGGCAACACTGTTTTGAAGGCTGTAAACGTACTGCGTGAGCACGGCGTACCAGAGAAATGCATCATATTGTCGAATCTGTTCTGTACGCCAGCTGCCGCTCGTACCGTGGTTACTGCGTTTCCCAAAATGAAGATTCTCACTTCTGAGCTGCATCCGGTGGCGCCCAATCACTTTGGCCAGAAATACTTTGGTACTGACTAGACTACATAGCCACAACAATGAAAAGAAAGCAGAGGCAGCAACAGCTGCTAGAAAACTTGACGACTAAGTTCTGCTTAGGATAGGTAGAGGATAGGATAGGTAGATTATCCATCCCAACCAAATCCTGTTTAGACCTACTAACCTATATTTTGTTAATTATGTTGTTTAGATATCTTACTAAAAACTTCTCTCTCCTGATCTAGATAACTTTTAATTTGGAGGAGGAGAAGGATGCGGAGCTCAACTACTATTGAAATTATTAGCCCCATTTCAGATTTGGCTTTTAATACAATTCGCAAATATATATAAAAGTGACTTAACTTATGTAAATAGAAACAAAATAAATATAAATATATATATCACTAAGAACTCATTTTATAATTGACCACCGTGTCAACCTTATGCAAGCCCGTGGAAAAGGAACGCAACTGCACCGCCTGTGCGTTCTGTATAAACACAGCGCCAGTTTCGTCCCACTGTGCAGGTATCTCAGTGTTCTGTAGCGTATGGATCATCACATCGAAAGTGCAAATGCAATCAAGCAATGGTAAATAGCTAACAGTTGCCGATATCTGCCGCATCACATCTCTAATCTCGTTTTGTATGCGGCTCAGCTGTTTTGATGAAGTCTGCTTGCTGGGATCCTTGCCATCGCTATCGCCATCGCCAAGCTCCGCTTGCATCTTGAAGTCCCAACATTCAAGAACTTCTTTAGTATGCGCATTAGTTATGACCATCGAAATCTTGTTAATCATGTTCTTCGAAAGCCACTCTACAGGTTAATGAAAATCAGTTGCTTCAATTCTTTGTAAATAAATGCATATTTTTATTTAACAAACCTTCAGTTTGCTTTAGAACATTTTGCAGAAATGTTGTAATCTTTGGGTCCTTGGACATTAGTATGGTTAACCCGTATTGCTGCGTGTTATCAAAGTTCTCGGCTGGATAAATACCACGTTGGAATAATATCGAATTGATGCCGTACTCTAATTTTGCAAATAAACAAAGGCAGGACGCCATTTAGATCGCGCTTTTTTATGGGCGTCGTGGTTATTCTAATTCTTGGTATTGTTCTACTTACTTAAGTACTCGACAATGATTTGGGCGGAGCCCTTTAGTGTGATACAGTTCTTGGTTGCTTGAGCTGTCGACATATTAATCAGTGATCTTTATTTAAATGAACAAATGAAAACTTTTCAACAAATTTTAGCCGCTAATTTTTGAAGCTGTCTTTACAGTTCCGTTCCAGAACTAACTAACAGGGTTCAAAGAACCAAGCACGAATCGTCACGATGAACTAGTTCACTAGCTCCATGTGCTGTTAAACAGTTACCAAAAGAAAAATACCAAAAGTTGATTTAATACTGCATTTCTGACCGGCAAAATTTAATAGAAGCTTTATATTTGAAGCTGCGGCTTTTTATAATATTTTTATGCAATTGTATTTTAGCTGTTAGTTTTGAAGCTGCCTATAGAATTTGGTTTTGAATGAACCACTTAAGTAGTTCAAAAGCTCGATAAAATGAAGTGTACAGTTGAATTGACTCGATCAAAAAATACCAAATTTTAACAAAATGCACTAAAATATGTTTTTGGCGCCATTTAAAGGTTATTCGAAAATAAAATTCAAAGTCACCGCAGTTCTTGGAACAAGTACATGTATTTTATTAGGAATTTTCAAATTATTTATAATCATGAGATCCGTGTATGCTGCAAAATAGAGTTTTTGCATATTATAAACGATTATTTTGCACTGCTTCTCATCCAGCGATTGTTTTGATTACTGCCAAAAGCCATTTTGTAGGTCGAACCTGTCGGAAAAGCAAATATATTTTTAACTGCAATATATTTTATTCCATTCTCGGATGCAAGTGACCGACAGAAATAAAAATCAATAAAATATGTTGAATTTGTTATTTTTTTCATAAGTGTTGTAATTGTGTAGCTATAAATAAAAATGTAATAATTATAAAAGAAATCAAGATGTGAAGTATTTGCAAATTTTTAATGACATTTTTTCTTACGCGTCGTTTTTCTTGTTTTTATTTTTAAATTAAAATTAAACTTTACTTAGTATTTTTGGTATAAATCTTTCAAAAACTAAATTAAAAATTTTGACTTATTTTAACTAAAAATAATCTCTTCTTCCAACAGAATTACAAACTCTTTTCTCAACATATACATAAAAAATTAATGAAGTTTGCATTTTACATATCATTCAATTAAAAAACGCTACAAATTGGGAAATAATTGAAAATTTCAAAATTAAGTATTTATGTACGAGTACTTAGATAATAAAGTTTTAAATTATTATTTCATAAAATACAAAATAAATTATGGTTAACTCTTATCTTTTTTTTTAAATTTTTTATAACTTAGTTGAAATGTACATAAAACTTAGTGTGCATTATAACGAATATATGTATATATAGAAATAGATATATAGATATATATGTATATTTATATACATGGTTTATTACAAGTTCAATCTTATTATATTTATACATATATATGTCTATGGTACAACAACAAAAGCGCAACATTGTCAGTGTCAGGGTCAATCGCTATCTTTCCTTATCCTTCATTATGTATTTTTCAAATTTTTTCTTTTAGTTTTTCTCGCAATACAAAGTACAATAAATAAATTCCGATTAACATTTTCATACACAAAATTCTGTCACCGTGCACAAACGCCAAAAAATTTTCAGTCTGCAACTGTTTCATGTATTTGCTTTCAAATATAATTATATTTAATATATTTTTTTGTAGTTGCAAGCAGTTTCTGTAAATTTTGTAGTTTTCGATAAATTGATAAATATTGTGTGTATATTTGTGTGGGTGTGTGTGTGTTGCAACAAATTGTAGAATTTTTTAAACATAATACTAAAAAAATTATATTTGTCGGCGTTGGAGTGCAGGGAGTTTTTCTTTTTGTTTTTTTTTTTACTTTATTCAAATAGGTTTTAAAGTGTTTTCCTTCTTTTTAATAAAAAAATAGTCATTATTTAAGGTAAGTATTAGGCCGTAGATTGCAACATAATATCTGTGAAGAGATTAAATCATAAATAAAAATTAAAAATTAATTCGTTTTTCTCTTAATTTTTGGTTTTTTTTTTTCATAACTATCTGCCCTAATACCAAGCAAAAGACAAAAAATACTAAAATGAACTAGCGCTCAAAACAGATTCCGTTGCGAACCAAAAAAAGTTTTTTCATGCATGATTTTCAAATCGAATAAAGCTTTAACGCTTATTCTCTTTTGCGTTATGTATGAAAAAGTAAAGAAAATTAAAAATTAGGAATACAAATAGTGAAACCGAGGTAAACCACACAAAACAGGTAAGGAGAAGAACGCAAAAGTTTAGTCAATAATTATTATTGATAAACAACCACCAGATAAATAATATTGTAAGGAGCGTATGAAATTTGTTGTTTGTTTCGTTTTTTGGTGTTTTGGTTTTGTCAAAATCTACAGCCAAAGTGTTAATATAATGTTTCATAGTAAAAAAACAAAGTAAAATGTATGTACGAGTACTAAAGAACTAAATTAATTGCAAAGAAATAATTATTGTTATTCAATGAAGTATTATTGTTCATGTTGTTACATCGCATCGTTTTTTTCTTAATATTGCTTTGTTTATGTTGCAAACTACAAAAAAATTAATTTATCGAAAACAAAACAAAATTTCGATCAGTGCTTTTTTCGTTTGTTTTTTAGCGGTGACTGTACTTTGACGACAGCTATTTGATGGGCTGAATAGGGTTGCCATTGTTGCAAAGAATAACTAACTTAAGAGAGCCTCTGTTTACTGTTCTATTGTTATCGTTATCGTTATCGTTATCGTTATCGTAATCGTTATATTTGTATATAGGTATTCGATATGAGTGTAGGCTGCGTCAATTGAATGGTTCGACAAGTATATTTCAGTATTTGGTAGGTATTCTGTTGTCTCTGTAATTATTTTTAACTGAGTCTGAGTCAAGTGAGTTGCATTTTAATTTAATTTTGTTTTGCTTTGTTGTGTAAATGGAAAATCAAAATTTCTTTTTGTTTTTAACATTTACTTTATAGAGAATTTTTGTTTTTGTTTTTTTTGTTTTAATAAAAATAGTTTTGTCTATATGTAATAACTATTTAAAATAAACCTTCTATAGCACCATTTGTTTGTATTCGCATTATCAAAATTTCTTTATTTTTAACAAATTTTTAGCTTAGTTTTGTTTTTTAATATAATATTATTTTAATTTAAGAAAGAACAAACTTTTGTTAGATTAAAGACTTTGCTTTGTTGCTTTTTGGAATGTGTTTTCTAATAAAAACAAGATAGAAGATGAGCTCAGTACTTGATAATTGTATTGAAAGAGGCGGAAGGAGGTTTTGATTTTAAGTGAATCTTAGGATTGGATTGAATTTCCCGGTATACTCTGTATTTGTACTTTGTGTGTTTGAGTGTGTGTGTTTATGTATATATATGTGTGTGTGTGTTATCAACTATATTTGGTTTATATATGTATGTGTTGTCCGATATACTGTGATCATTCTCTTAAAGATTTGGTTAATTGAAATATATTTGTATTTGATTTATATTTTCTTCGTTTTTTTTTTTTGGATTTGGTTTATCTGTAACTCGACTTAAAACAATCGATGCTATAGAAGTGCCTATTTTAGCAGTAATACCCTCCATAATACTTGACGCCACACATGGGATAATTGCTGTACGTACTGTCTGGCCTAGAGAACTCGCAGCGCTCGCCAGTGAATCCATCCGGGCAACTGAAAGTTCAAAAACACACAAAAAGAAGAAGAAAGATGCATAGGTTAAAAATTGTGTTGTATTATTATTGACATTAAATGCGATGCAAACACTTCAGATCTTTGGCAAAAAGAAAATTAAATATACAGCATATTTAGATGGCCATGAACCGGGTTCCAGCATTTCCCTCGCATCACTTAAGTATAAACAGCAAAAGCAGGGAAAAATAACAGCAAAAAACGAAGCCAGCAAATTTAATTAACAATCTTTTACTTTTATTTATCTTGTGCACTCTCTCTCTTATATTTATTTTTCTTTTTTGCAAGTCCAGCACCCAAAACGAAAATGAAAATGGTTTTTCACAGCCCCAAAGGAAAGGAACCAAAAAAAAGACAGAAAAAACGAGAAAGATCGTTGCAGTTGAGCGTAACTAACTGCATAATACGCGTTCACGCTATAGAAAATTGATAATTCGGATTGACTACAGGCCAAATGGCGGACTATTTCGATTTTTATGGATCTATCTGTTGAGGTGTTCTAATGCCTTGCTCACCTGGAGTTCCTAACTCTAAGCTTGAACTCTAAAGAGGTTCCGATATATATATAAAGTGTAAGCAATGTAATGGATGCACTTTAACAGACAAGAATACACTCTTCCTGAAGACGGACGACAGCAAGACAAACAGGGCAGAAAAGCTAATCTACTCTTGTCACAAAATGAGCGAGCAGATCCGAGTACAATGCGCTTTTTGGGGGCTGCGCGTGCATGGAATTGGATTGGTTTACATATACGAGTAGATATATGCGTCTTGCATACACACACAGACACACAAACACACGCAGAACGTGGATAATGTATAAAACGAGGCGCCGAAAGACATTATTCACATTGCTAAGAGTGTGCGTGTGTGCAAGTGTGTGAGTGTGCGTGTGTGGGTTCGTGGAGTTCTGAAATTCTACAGTTGAGAGAAAATTTCACTCGTTCGTGTAATGCGATGCCAAAATCGAAAAACACTGTTTTCCCCGACAGTTTCTCAAGTGCTTTGACTCTCCAGATCTCTAACGGACTTTATCAGCTGTCACAGGTTTTATCACAGTGCAGCCACTTGACATTTGGTTCGATTTAGAGCGAGAGAGTAACAGAGACAGAGAGAGAGGGAGCAGCTGTGTCAAGAGTGAAATAGATTTCGTCAGTTGATGTTACTAATCTTAACTTACTTGCAATAAATCTGATTTAGCTCCAATAACAATCTGCAGGTGCCACCATGAAAGCAATGATTCTTCACACATGGTTTGCCCGAGTTGGGATTATCCGATCGAGAGTAGACTGTAAATGAATAAATATATATATATATGATATATACATAGTGGATATGTAATCAGAATTGAGTCATCATGTCTGTTGCTTTACAAGCCAACATGCATGGTTTGCCGCCTTCGAATGTGGCCATAAATTAGAAATGAATTGGAGCGCTAGCCAAAACATGACAGACGCACATCAAAGCGAGAAGCGATGGACGGAAAGATCGAGAGGCTGTTGAAGGTCTTACCTGGATGGGCACTGATCATGATGCGTCGCTTGTCGATCGTGTTGCTAACTTTGTTCTTAGCACGGCATTCGTATTTCCCCGCATCGGTGGAACTGTTAAAGTGGCGCACAATCAGCTGGGAACGTCTTCTGCAAGCACCGATCGAAAGATACACATATATATATATAGAATTATATAACAATTTGAGCAATCGCTCAAGGGACTTGTGGCTCACTTGTGGTGCTTGATTTGATAAACATGGGGTCTGCGTTTTATTGATTTGTCGTCCTTGAACCAGGTCACCTTCGGAGGCGGCCGGCCCTGCACCATGCATGTGATGCGCAGCTCCGCGTTGTTCTCTATTGTCGCATTATTCGGTTCAGCTTTGAGCAATATAATCGATGCGTTCTGTGCTGTAAGAACAACAATGAAAACAGTTTAAGCATTAATCTATGAGTTTTCCAATATGCACTCTATATGTAGACAGATAGAGAGGTATATGTCTAGAGCCTGTATCTTAAATTCTAATTAATTTCAGATTGTTTATGCGAAAAAAGTTGAAAATCGTTTGCGCCTCGGCGCCATAAACAAAGTATCGTTTTAGAAATTAATGAAAAACTTTTTCTACTTTTAGTATTTTAAGTTTTTTTATTTGCATTTTATGGGCGTCGCGTCTGCACGAATTCTTTAACATTTTGTTGTTAATCCTAAGTTGTTTATGATGAGTTCTGCGATCGTTAATTCAGAATATGACATGAAAACATTTTCACGGACTAATCAAATGAACTAAATATTTGTATATAAGATTAAGGATTTGTCTAGTGTAGCACTACTATTTTAATGTCTGTCTAAAGCGAAAAAATTGTCTTAGAAACTTGTCTTTATATGGTAACTCTACTGTCATATTTAGAGTTTTATAAAAGAGAAAAGATGGCTCAACTAAGAGATATCAGCAACTAACTAAACTAAATCTTACAAAATGTAGCCATAGATGCTTCAGTCATCTCACAGTTGATGCCTCATTATATTGCTTAGAGATATTTTACTCCATGATGGTATATATTTTCCTGATGCCTTGCACGTGTTCATAACATTGTTAGCTCGTACAATTGATGTGATTTAGCATTCGATTTATATTTAAGTTTCGCCTAATTAACGCATGTTGCACAAATCAACCAATAGCAGATGGGCCAATCGTTCGGTCAGGCAGTTATTGCCAAAAAGTCTCCTTCGGACGCTGAGTCATAAGTGTCGACGATTTGGCAATGAAATTGTTGGCCCACTTGCCACGCCCACGGTACAATGTGACAGGCATTTGGCTTTACTTAAATTAGCCGGCATCTCACGTGTCTGGGCGAGAGGGCGGGGGTGGAAGCGTGCCTTAAGGGGCGTGCATCACATGACAATTGCGTATTGCGTGAATGAATGAATCATTTGCCCAACGAAAGAGAGAGAGAGACGGGTAAGATAAAGAGTGAGAAAGAGAGAGAGAGAATTGGTCAATTACCAAGTATTTTCTAACAACAATTTTCTATTTTCAATTCTTTTTTCTCTTTTTTAAAATGCATTTTAAAGCATTGCATGTGAACAGATTTTTTATTTAGTTTTTTTGCCTGATTATGCAATGCACGCGAATTTTTCCAGCTAAATGAATAGTCATAACGATGATCATAAAGAAAGCCGTCTGCATATATATTATCAGCTATATATATGGCATAGAATTTCTGCTTAAGTCACTGAGCTCTATTTATATATTCGACTAGAATCTTGATATGATTTAATGCTAAGCGAATGTTAATTTATGCGTCTCTCGCGTGGCTCGTTCGAAAGGAAAATGCTGCTAAATATTAATTCTATAAAATCTTATATATTAAAACATAATTTATTGTTTATAATTTATGATTTTTGTTCATTTTTGTTGCTTTTCGCCAATGCGACGGCCCATAAAACCGCATTTTAATTGTGCGCGTCACTTTCTCACGCTCCCAAATTGGTTTGCGATGGCTCTCTACGCTACTCTATGGCTTTCTCTCTCTTTTCAGCACTCGCTGTCTCTTTCGCGCGGAGCTGTGCAGGAGCTACATGCCGAATAATCGACTGAAAAAAGCAACTCACAAGTGGCTATGGACAGAAGGCGATTAAGAATTGAAGGCAGCACGCAAACAAGTTGACAATTGTCATGCCCAAAAGTCCCCCTCCCATCGAAAGGGGGGCGACTGCCCCTCTCTGCGGCACGCAGTTGCCGGTCGAAGCCTTTTCAAGTTTTTTGCTTTGATTCACAATGAAATTCGAGGCATAATAATAAGATGAACATTTTATACGCGTTCCTCCTCCTCCTACTCTTCCTTCACCTCTTCTTTTTTTCTCTTTTTTTTTTTATATATATTTTGATATTTATTAATATTTTTTCTTCATAATTTTTATGTCTTTTTTCTTTTTTTGGCGTATCATTTCAGTTCGCTTCAATTCTTTGTTATTATGACTTAATTATGCGCTTAAAAGATGATTATCGAAGTGCTTTGGCGGCTGAGTATGCCATGATATGTGGCAAGCCATTATGGAATATATTAAGAAAGCTAGTTAAAAATACGAAAACATCTTTTAATCAGCAAACAATATAAGACAGTCATATCGCACCTACTATAAGCTCTAAGTGGGTGTAACACCGTGTCTATAGAATTCTTCTTCCAGAACTCTTTTGATCAGAAAATTATATGTTTCAAATCATCCTGCAGTTTGCTACTAAAACTCTAAGAATCCAAAATGAGACCCATTTATAAGTTGTTTGTTTCCTAAGATTTTTTTTGTTTGCCAAGTCTATGAGTATTGCAAAGAGAGGTCCCGTAATTTGATATGAATATTGAGTAAGTCGTTCAATGACCACTAAAAAATCTTCGTTTTCAATGGAGATCACTTCTCGTTTCCAAGTATTGATTGCTTCTATTTTCAATCATTTCTAACTGGCTGTTAATTCTAGTCTGAGATTTGCAAAGAGAGGCCCTGAAATTTGATAGGCACGCAGTTGGTTTTTTGAAAGCGTTTCGCTGCCAGAGCTCATTGGCCTCTTATGAAGATGCTGTTGTTGCTGTTTGGTCTGTTTTTGGGCTGTGTGTGCGTCAACACTACGTCAAAGCCGCAGCTGCTGTCGCGCCGCGCTTCCGGAAAAGTCTGGCATAACAACTGCGACAACTAGGAATCGAAAATAAACGGAGAGGAAACGCTGCCAAAGCAGAGGCAGGAAAACTGTCGTCGTTTTGGCTGCTGCCTGTCGACGATTTTAGCACACAGGAGATGGAGGCGACGTACTCGCATTAAAATAACTTTTCTCAAATATATATGTATATATATATATATATATATATACGTATGTTTATGAAACATAATAATTTTTCACGTTTGTTTGTTTTTGCTCAACTCAACTCGACGCGACTTTTTGTGCGCTTTTCCTTCAAGCGTGACGCCTCAATGATTCATGCAAATCCATCAAAAAAGAACACAAGACGCAGAGTGAGAGAGAGAGAGAGAAAGAGAGATAGACAATGGCGACAACATGTGGTTTTAGCAATGGACCGCTGCCAGCTGAGAGGTAGGGTGGCTGTGAATCGTTACGTTTATTAAGATTTTATTGAATTAATAAGCAAATTGCATGCGACACGCTGACTGGCGCCATCTGTCGTCCAAATTGCATTCAATTTGCATGCACTCACAACGGCACGGATGCACTTACTATATATATATATATATATATAGATACTATATATTATTGTTCTCAGGGGCTTATATTCCCAAAGATTTCACTTAAGCCAAATTAATGAAATGTGCAATGTGAAATGTTACTTATTTTATTTTTAATTTTTTTAGCTCTTAAAAATATGAATTTCGAATTTTGTTGTCGTGCGCTGAAAGACATTTTATTTTGGCAGCCCCTCTCCTACTCTCTCTCGCTGTCTCTCTCTCTCACACTCTTTCTTTATGTTTGACCCACATTCGTTGGCGACAGCGAACGGAAGTTTTTCTTGTTGTTCTCCAACATTTTACGCTGTTTTTCCAAAAAATAGATGAAAAACAAAAAACTTGCCAGTTCTTCTGCATTTTCTTAATATATATATGTACGTATATCTATATATATATTTATATTTTTGTCAACTTTTGGTTATTTATGCTTTTGTATGCGAGCGCTCGTTATTTATTTTATAATTTTTGATTCATTTTTATTGGCGCTCGGGCGACATTGTGTCATTCCTCGATTCCTCGACTAAGTAAATAGAATACAAGTCGAGTGATTTATTGCGCTGGCCATAAAGCGACGTTTGTGTACGCACATTATCTTATTTGAATCGGATCTCTTTTACAATTGCTGGCAGCGGGTCTAGCACGCGCCTAGTTAGCTGGAATTTGGGGGAACGTTTGACTGACTGAGACACCCTCTCTCTGCCTGGCTGTCTATAAAACATTATTATATTTGCATACGTGTGCAATTACTCAGATAAGACACACTTGAGCTGGGAGCATTGAACATTATGTATACGCCCGGTGGGTCGCACTTGAGTGTAAACAAATTATTTCATTTGTGCTGTTGTTGTTACCGGCAATTTGACTTGGGTAAACATCAATTAATTTAATTCAACTACGGTGTTGGGCTATCAAAAGGAATTAAAAGCAAATACAACAGTTAGATTAGATATCTGTATTGTACGTATGGCTACTAAAGGTGATATATCAGCTACCCTATCGCAGCTCGACTTTGATTTCGATGACTAGACTTCTGTGCGCAATAAAGCAATAGAAACGGCAACGCTAAAATCAGAAAAAAACAAGCAAATTATGTTGTACCCAAAGCGAAAGACAGGCCAACTGGCTGGCCGAAAAATTGTACAAGTTCTCTCGGATGGTCTGGCAAATGAATGGCCGGCACGTGTGGCCAAATGTTCGCAATGAAAATGTCTTGAAGGCGCAAGCAAGCAAAACTAATAAAACGAAAGAAAGAAAGAAAAACAGCAACTAAAGGGAAATAGCAAATAGCAACAGCAACAACAACAGCTTAATGTATGCACGATGATTGTCGCCCGTTGGGATCTTTCGATTTTTCCATGTTTGTTCGGCGCATTTGCTTGTTTATTTGCACGTTGCGTATACGCAATGTGATTTCCTTTGAAGCAACGACCGCGACTTTCACGTCGAGGTTGTACGCTGTCAACGTCTGATTGTTGCTGACAACTCAAGCAAATAGACAGCAATATAGACAGCTACAATGCGTTTACTACAGGCCCACAGTGCTGGCATATGCAAAAATTGGTAAGAGTCGTGTCTATCAAGGCTAGCATTTGCCTAGTTAGACCATTTAATCAGTGTAGATAAGCGATAAGTAGCAGCAAGGCAAACACTACTGTCTCTCTCTCTCCCTCTCACTCTC